ATCGTGGATAATGAGTCTCAAGCCAGTGATTTATGGCTGAAATAGAATCATGATTTTTCCGCGCAAGATTCCTTTAAGCTTATCCTTTCATTTAGCATATCTCGCAAGCAAAATGTAGGAGACATTCTATTGATCGATACCAATATTTCTTCTAGGCTCCGCATCGAGGGAATGTAAGCGTAGCGGTAAAGTATAAGCGCAGGAATGGAAACATGGGGGTTCATGATCGTCTCTAGCTGCGGCCGAGATCGGTGCTGTCTTATTCGCGTAGAATTCTGCTCCCTAACGTCACCGCGTAGAAGTTCGACAGTTCGTAGCTAATCGGAAGATTCTCTGGTTCTATTTATACTGTATTTCATTCGGTCGATTGGGATAGTTAAGTGAGTCATAAATATTTGTTTAACTCTGTTGTTTCACTTCCGAGTATAACCCGCGTGGCAAGTGTAGGAAGTAAGACAAGGATATTCGCGTGGAAATGGATACATAGTTCACGTCAATGTAATTGCTCGATGAATAAGCCCTTACCCTAGCCTGAAAACTTGACAATGCTCAGCAAAAAAGGGCCCCCATACTTACATTTCGCGTCTTCGGAGGTCGTCCTGGCGGTGGTTTTTGGTCGAATTTCGGTGGTAAACCTGGTGGAAGACGATCCTGCAAATTGATCCATTAAAAAACTATCTCAGAATGTTTTCGGTGAGTCTTTTGGAAACATGCCAAGGACATTACTCAGCAAAAATATTTCAAAGAACCAGCTGAATAAGAGAATTAATGACGTGTCATATTAATCACGTTGCTGTTTAGAGCTCAAAACATTGCCAGGTATTCATCAAACGCAGTCACACCTTCGACACTGACAACGTCGACAGGGAGAAAAAGGACTCTTTCATATATTTCCTTGTCTTTTGATGAATCACATTACTTTGAATGGCTTTATGGGCCCTAAAATGAATGATAGGAGGGTGGTGGGGAAGTGACGAATGGCGTCGCTACCACTCGCACGATCCATAGACGAAATCCAACGTCAGCCGAACAACCCTTCCATCATTCCAGAGCCGATAATTCAGCACCGAACTGCTATGAAAAATACAAACACTGGTTGTCAACTGGTCCGCGAAATCCTTCACCGAGCGAAAAATCGCTTTCAAATGCTACAAATCATGACGGAAGTCAAAAGCGAGGCGCATCCCAAAAAAAAACAATCCCAAGTTTAGCGATTTTGGAGGTGAATTTGAAGTCAGCCCGAAGACACCTAGGCGCTACATTTTGTTACGCAAGGGTACGGGATTAGTTTGAACCAAACAACCGTTATCGGTCATCCCGTACTTGATAGCCACCGTAAGATGTTCCACGCTCAAAATCTCTCGAAGCGCTTGAATACCCCAGGTGTATTACTATGTTTACCGCTATCGCGCCGGCCCGCTACGTACGCGCCCTCCGAAGTTGTCCGCTGGCTGAGGGCATAACGTCCCCGTGTAATCAGCTGACGTAAGCAAACCAGCCTTTTTGCGCTTCGCTGACTTTTTTGCTAATGTTGGGAGGGAGTTGGGGAGTACTCCGACGACGGTAGACGGACCACTTCAACTCGGTCCTTGGAACCGACACAATTTGGTGCTTACCTCAGAACTAAGCCTTAAAAGAGAGGACGGGTCCGTCCCCTCTCCAAGCTTAGTCCTGGGGTGAGCAAACCAGACCTTCTGGCGGAGCTGCTGGACCAGCTGCACCACTTGCGTCAGTACTCTCCTATCGTACCAACCGAGTTGAAGTAAACCGTCGACCGCTGGGGTCCCCATCCCCTACCCAACATTCAGCATACGGTCCCAGCCGAAACGCCAAAAAGGGCTGGTTTTGAGTTTAAATTATCAGTCAGTGATTGCCGTATCAACCGATAGAACGACTGATATCTTCAGAAAACTTGTTTGTACGTGCCTCTTCCCAAGCACTCCTTCACTGCTAGTGGGAAAGAGGGTTTTGTTAACGGCCTTGTCGACGGTTTTTCTCAGTTTTTTCTCCACTGTCGTTCTACTTCGCATCTCTATACTCAGTTTCAATCGCCATAATACCCCTTATTGAGCCCGACTTTTGCCTTTAAATGGCTTATGGGCCCGAATCCTTTCCTTTTAGAGGCACTGCCATAGCAAGGATGTCACCAAAGTCCGTAAGTAGTTGTATGAGAGTAGTTGCAATTCGATCAAAGATTCATTTGACAAAAAGAGCGCCGAAAAAATTCGTGACTGTGAGAGAAACATTAGTGGCAAAAAAAGAGTTTATCTGATAACAACGAGAAGCTAGCAGCAAAATGTATCATGTAAGTAAATAATTTCGCCTCGTGCTTGGAAAAATTTCAGTGTTTCCACAAAGACTTATAATCGACATCACCCAACGACACGCTACTATGCGTCTATACGTCAAAGGAATCGTAATCAGAGTGATGCAATATTTTCTACCTTTTTTATTTTAAATATCCCTTTTACTATAAGCGCTTCGCTGTGTATGTCTGTCTGTCGTCTGTATTTCTGGCCCGAAATGACATGCTCTTGGCGGCTTCCACCTAGAGAGACCGGCGGCAACTTGTTGTTGGCGGCCAGGTTCTCTATAAGCTATAAAAACACAACATCAAGCTAAAGGAGCCCCCCAGAGCCGTGCGGCGTCGAGATGAAGTTATTACGACCGAGGTTCAATTCTCTTAGAAAACAGCCTCGAAACTGGGAAGAAAAGTAGGGTAAGTGTGTATGTTGGTAAGTCTGATCGAATCAGAGAGAGCCACCGCCGGTGGGCGGGGCGTTCTCCAAAAAAGCAGTGCTTAACAAAAGGATTGATAACTTGGTTGGGAAAAGGCCTACAGAGCAGAAAACAAATTGTGTAGGGAGCAAATGTCTAAGGTGTTCCAGCATACATGACGGACGTGGGCGGAGCGCTAGTGCGGGGATTCTGAAGAGTACAGCGTTTTCTACTATCCATATTCGGGCTGGGAATGGGAAAATTCTAGATGACCGGAAAGAGTGGACTCGGATGTGGAGAGTGTAAGCTACCTTCATCGGTTGGCGGCGACGTAACAAATGCGCTCAGTGCGAAGAAAATACCATTAAATTGGCTCAATCCGGCTCGCTGAAGAAGGGATAGAGAGGGTGGGAAAGAGGTGAATGTCCTCTTCATCGCATGACGGGCACGACCAAAGTGAGCAGAGTTGTCAAGAAAATCATAATTCGCTCGAGAAGTCTCGGGCAACTGGAAAAGTGATGGAGGTGACGGGAGAAGGAGTTCAATAGCCTTTGGCAGGCCACTTTTTCGCCGAGTGCGCGGAGTTTTCCAGATAACTTATAATCCTCTGCCAAGACCTGAAACTTCCGTTCTAACAAGATCTGGAGACTTTAATGGAAATACTGTGGATACTAAATGGAGGCATGAGGGCAACTGTCTTAAGGGCGGGCAGACAAGTGCCCAGCATTTCGACGGAAATCACTACTTCGCTCCAAGAGTCCGGAATCGGGAATTATGAGGGGGGTAGGAGTGAGTCTATCTTTCCAGCTGCGGCGAGGCATGCGACCAAAATTGGCATTATCCTACAAACTCATACAGTAGCTCTAAAGGGTCATGGAAACCGGGAAAAAGCGAATAGAGGTCGGTCAAGAGAAGAAGGTCGATTGCCCTTGGCAGGCAAGGTTTGCATCAAAGTGGGCGGAGTTTTGCCAGAACTTCATAACTCTGCCAGACCTACAACTCGGTTCTAAGAAGTCCCGGAAACTGGAAAAAAAGTGAATAGAGGTCTGCGATGGAAGCAAGGGCAACTGCTGTAAGTGGGCGCATGCAAAGTGTCGAATTTATAGTAATAACTCGTTCCAGAAGTCAGGAGACAGTAAACTAGGGAACGACACAACCACCCAGCAAGCGATAGCCCAAAAGAAATCCCATGCAAAGAGTGCTGGAGTTCACTGTCTTACTAGCGGAGCATGACTAAAGTGAGCGGAGCTCGGCTGCAAAACTAAAAGTCGGTTCAGAGATAGTCCGGAAACCGAAAAAAAGGTGGATAGAAGCCAGCGAAGGAGAGAGAATTCAATCTTCATTGGTGAGCAGGGTACGACCTAAGTGGGCTGGGTTTGTTGCCAGATCTATAAAGTGGTCCACGAAGCCCTAGCGACTGGAAAATAAATGCGAAGAGAGCCGGCAAGAGGGAGCAAGTTTTTATTGTGGTTTAATGCCTAGCCCGCCGTTACCCCGTCAAATACAGAAATTGCTCAGTCAGTCAAGACGAGGAAAAAGAACTATTTTACAAGGAAGAAAAATGTGTGAGACATCACCTAAATAGCTGAGTTATACGAAATTTAATCTTCTAGAGCAGTTCGGAGACGGGAAAAACCTTATAAGAGTCCCGAAGAAAGAGATGTTAAGAGACTAGCAGACGGATAAAACCTTAGCTCAGAGTAAATATCTTATAATATACGCACCACCATCCATATTGCCGCAGTAATTTGTTGGGCCGCAACGCGTGCATGCCCAACTGGTGTATTTATATTTTATATACTTAGTCTTGCGGCCTGGCAGTAGCGCATGCTTACATGCATTAAATAAATAAATAAACAAATAAATAACGTATAAGCTCAAAACTTCACTTGAAAAGTTAAGCGACTGTAAAGAATAAAAAATTGGCGTAAAAAAGCTTATGCATATGATTACGAAGTTGAAGAGTGAAATATTTCAAAAATAGTAATTTCAACGAAAAACTTTCCCGTTTCAAAATCTACACATACCATTTGTACAAAATCTAAACATTCCTTCATGAATTTTGGTCTCAGAGGCGGCTTGGCTTACCTCTGGGAAACCGTGAGCGAAAAATTTGATCGCTTTGAAGACAAAGTCAATCATTCGATTCCTACTCCTCTGTGCTGCGTGGTCAACAGTTTCGTCTCAATGAGGTGAACTCGTTTCTGCGGTGAGTAACTCGTAACATCCTCTGTGGTTTGGCTGGATTCGACAGACGACTCGCGAGTCTTCTTGACGCGAGGATGGACTGGTCGTCTGACACGGCATCTGACGGTGCCGGCTTGTTCTCGATGACGGTTATCCGCTTCTAAAAGTTGCTGCATCAGAAAACAAATGTTTGACCAAAAATGCGATCCAGTTCGCATTTATACTTGGCGAACTTGCAGCTGCTGCCGGTTGCAAAACCTTGCGGACGAAGTTTCCCGCACGTTTCGTGAGGGCAACTGGCTGCAAGTTCGTCGAGTAAGTGCAATTTGGTTCACTTCTTCAAATGATTACCAGTTGATCTACTGAGGGAGACAATAACTGGTGCATGGCAAGTCATTAGTGAGATTCGACACACTTCGAAAGTAGTTGTTACGCTCCGAAGCCGAACCTCAATCAGCGGGAGTCTGTTTGACCTGGCGAGCTGCCAGATTCGCACTAAAAATTGCTCATTGTCAGTGGAAAGTGAACTTGACAGGAAAGGATGACCTGGTTAAAAACCAAACTATGCGTCATGCGCTCGGTAATTTTTCAAAGCCAGAAATTTCTATGTGAACGCATTCAAGATCGAAACATCAATTTCAGGCAAGAAACGGGAGGCGGAGTTTCTCCTGAATACTCACATTTGCTTAACTTTCACAGCATCGCCGATCGTCGATGTTTATCGCTGGCTGACGTGTCAGTCTCACTCTCACAAGGGAGTCTCTTTCAGGGCAAGCCACGCTTTTTCAAAACGGTTTCTTGCATATTGTAGGGATGCATGTAGGGAACACAAAACCATGTTTCATTTTCGCTGAACGGTTTTAGCAGTACCAAAAAAGAAGCATAAGGTACTGTTATGGTTCGATTCCCCTCGTGAGCGACTAAATTTGCAATGAGTTGGCGACCGTCAATAGTGACAAACATCGCACAATAATTGTCACAATCAGGTGTCACATTCATCGTCAGGACCATTTTGAAGCCATCAAGTGGCCGCCAACCTTGATTGCAAAATTTAGTCGCCGCGGGGACCGAACCATCGAGGGTATCATTCACCACTTTTTTGATACTACTAAAACCGTTCAGCGAAAACGAAACATGGTTTTGTGGTCCATACATGCGTCCCTACAATATGCAAGAAACCATTTCCAAAAGCGCGGCTTGCCCTGAAAGACCTCCCTTGTCAGGAGGTCCGCCTGTCTCCCCACTGGGTAATTATCCCCTTCTTCGACCTTCGTCCTTATCGTGAAATCCTCCTCTAAGCGATGAAGCTCCAAAGCTGCCCCAAATCCTCTTGAAGCAAACAATCCATGACAAACGAATTCGGTAGCATTTAACCCCAAAGGGATCAAGTGCTTTTCTGGCCTAGACAAGATCCCATATGGGGTTTGGGGCTCGTTCCAAGTCGGGAAGGGGTCACCTGGAAAGAGGCTTCACTTGCCTCTAACTGTATATGTACATAAACACGCCGTAAAAGTGTTGGAAAAAAGGATGAAAAGCACCAACCTGAAAGACTTCTCGTCATCTACTCTTGGACCATCCGGCAGAGGCTCTCTTCGACGTCCACCACTCAGATGTGACTGCGCTTTTTTGTGTTCACGGGTCTAAAATAAAAATAAGGTTGATGCAGACCACGAAAAGCATGTATGGATCACTCCAGAAATTGAACCTCTTTGAGTTCAGATATGTACGTGAAACCGTATATTATCACCATCAGAACTTAAAAGCCATGGAGGGTTACGCTTCACCTGCTTCATAAGTCTTTCAAAAAAATCCCATTTAGCCCTCATCCAGGGGAAATTGGTCGAGGATTCGTCGACGGTTCGTCGAGGATTTTCGCCTGTTCAGTCACGCTCTCCCGCGCGATATTCACTCTCGCCACGCGCGAGCCGTCTGTGCTCTCCGCGCGTACATTCACTCTCGACACTATTCTCACACAATACAGAGCCATGGTCGAGGATTTCTTAATTTACCCGCCCTCATCACTACTTACTCTTACTGTAAATATTGCTCTACGCTTTTGATGAAAACGGTGGATAAAATAGATTTGTTTTTCAAATTTGAGCCAATCTCACCACGTCTCGCCTATACCTAAACTAGGCAGCGTACCTTAGCTAGGTCAACTTAAAAACTCCTTATATCCAAAAATCTCCAATGATTCCGTTCCAACATAGGCCGCTTGGCGTAGTAAGCGTTATAAGTATAACTGCAAATGTCAGAAACTGTTTAACTCAGTTGTTTCCTATACTCAACTTTTTTACGGTAAATTTCGTTTGAAAACCATTGTGGAGCAAGACAAGAGGTTTCGGGAGGAGGGGTGGGCAAAAACGTGCGGCTTTCAGCAAATGCAGAAGCCTAATTAAATATCTACTGAAATTCAGAAAGAACTGTGTTGAAATGTGTCGAACTCGTTCAGAAGCCCCAACCCCCCGGTTTTGATTTCACAACAAAAGATCATTCCGTTTAACAGCTGTTACGGACCTCTTTCTCATGCCATCGTTGCATTTCTTCAGCCGTCATCAATCGAATCGAGTTCGGCGATGGCGTTGACGACGATGACGCACTAAAATCCACATTTCAATGAAAACTTAAAATTTATCACACGCCTGCCAATAGCGCAGTTGAGATATTCAGAGCAATAAACAAAGGATAAAGGATGAAGCTTTCGCCTCTGATCAATCCCTTTTTGGAATGCCGCACGCATTCTAGTTCCATTCGTAGTGGCGCTTGAATACGTTTACAATGACTTGCGGGGGCCAGCCGATGTTACAAGTCAGTGTTTTTTATCCTCCCAGACAAGTCTGGTACCAATTAACCGACCCCGGAGGGATGGAAGGCTTGGTTGGCCCGGGCGACTCACGACCCAGGATTTGATCCCGGACCGCTCGCGTGGTGAGTAGCGCCACTTGCCAACTACACCACTTCCACCGCTACTAACCATAAGAGCTACAAAAGGAAAAAAGAACTATTCCACACAAGGGGTTAAACCGTCAAAATTCGGACCATTACCGTAACTCACACAGTACTGATGGAAGCCAACAAGGTTGTTGGCGAAACAATGCAGCGGGATGTAGTAAGTATACGCCGTGCCACGGCTGCAATGGCAGGGGACGGCACGGTATTCAGTGAAAACTCTGCACCCAGCCCATGCATGTCGTAATTGGGTGGAAACGTAGAAAGGAACTTGCCACTGGATTCTATAGATAGTGGATGACGAGTGACTCCCCACTCAGCCGTCCCTAAAAATGATCATTACTGGTTATTCAGTTGTTGTTTGGCACCGTCCCACCTAAGTAATTCCCTATGACGTGGGCAAGCCGGCGCAAAAGAGCAGCCCCGATAGTTTATAGAGCTATTTCCGGGCACGAAACATTATCTTTTTGTTTCTCTGGCTCCATACGGGCCGGGCCAATGCCGAGAAGATTGCAGAAGATGGTGACTGGGAAGCCTAACCCCTGGCTGTGCTCTGGTTTGTTGGCGGCCTTCGCTTCTGATATCCGACGCCGTGTATCATCGACAAGGTCGTTGAGGCGAAGAAGAGTGAAAAATCGGTGGATCGCCTAGATGCTCTACCATCATCGCCTAGTATCGTGTCCGGCTGTTCGCCGGCTGTGATAGGAACACTCGTGTTTGTGACGTCCGACTAAATATAACAAGTGAATAGCTGCAGTAGGAAACAAAAATGTTTATGGTGAACAGAGTGGGAGAAGGCCCCTTAGAACGCCCATGTTCAATTAAAGACTTACGCAGGACTCCTCGCATAGACGGCAGAGATCGGTTTCGGGAACGGAGCGCTGATGGGCGGTCGATGTCGCGTGGTTTCATCGCTTCGCGAAAAGCCACTGGTGCTGTTCAACGACGTCAACTCAGTGAACTCCTCTTGCATACTACGATTCATTGAGTTTGCAGCTGATTCCTGAAAACAATCAATAAATAGGTTTTGAATGAATTATCCTCCACGAGAAAAAGAAAACATCGTCGTTTTCCGCTCCCAATGAGACAGAAGAAAACGTAAGACGACATTTGTTGAAGCGGTGAGTCATATTTTTTGCGGTTCGAAAACTATTCAGTAAATATTTTATCCCATGTGGATACGCGTAACAAAGTGTAAGCACTATAGGTCAGTGAAGGAGGGAAAAGCCAAACATGGAGGAAATGTAGCCGATTGAGCCATTGATAGCGCGTCTTCAGACGCCAAAGCGCCACTTACCGTCTGCTTCGGTGAATTGTTACCCTTTCCTTTACCCTTATATACAAGCCAATGAAGCACCCTGATTATCGTGTCCGCTGCCTTTAGGTGATAATCGGGCCGTCACGAAAACTGTGAGAATAATCAGATTATGAAAAGAAGAAACGAAAGTGATCAGCCGAAAAGAGATGGTGAGAATTGAAGTGGTCAGACAGGTTCGAACGTCAATGATGTGGAAGTATTCACATAAAAAGTTTCTTTTCTTATCAAAAAGCAAAAAGGTGAAGGAAAGAATCGACGCGCATCTGCCGCGCATGCGCGCTGGTGAGTTTTCCAGGTGGAATGGAGGCAAAACGTCATCATAGATGTTGAGGACCTGTCCTGAGGAAGGGGAAGGGGAAGTAGGAGCTCCATTCAGAAGGAGACAGAAAGACGTTTGGGTGTAATGACCTCATTAGAAAGATTGTAGAGTGCAGAAGTTGTAGCACATGAAGTCGCAACTTCTCTTTCGGTAAACACTAAACACAGTACCACCCCCATATCGAGTACACTGTTGCATTAGTTACGGCGATTTACGCATCAATCGATCAGAAACTTCCACTTACGCAGCTGGAGAAGAGAGGAAGGGAGGGGCAACTATTGCTGAACTACATACGCCTAACGCGCCGGGAAGGAAATTTGATATGGGTTTGGTTGTAGG